ATATCTGTCTTCTGGGATCACTAGCCAGGGATGGGGTGGGCACTGATCAGCAGGTAGTGAGCAGTTGCACTGTGCATCACTTGTTTGTATAGTATATAATTACTACTACTATTATTTCAAGTATTAATTTGATTTTATCTCAACCCATACATGTCTTTGCCTTTCCAGTTCTCTCCCTGACTCCTCTGGGTTTGTGGGGGAGAGCAAAGGACAGTGAGTGAGCAGCTGCCTGGTACTTGGCAGTGTGCTGGGTTAAAACCACCAGTACATGTACTGCATCATTAAAGAGCCTACAGGATTTTCCATGGTGACTCACATGCTGCAGAAAATGGTTTGTGCTATGCCTGCCTATTTCCTTCAGCTATTTGCAAAACAGTTGCTTAATTCAGCTTTGATTCAGAGAATCGTTTATTTTATAGCAGTTTGTTCCCACCTAGTATGTGAATTGCAGATGTGCATGTTTATCTTCCACTACCTGGGAAAGAATACTGGAGGAAACACCAGTGATCTACTTCGTTTCCTGGTGCCTATTAGTTGAGGTTGATTTGCATTGAGAATGTGATTCATGAAAACTGAAGCTAATAAAATTGATATGAGTGAAGAAATAGCTGAGTTTTAATATTAGATGACTTGTTTTGATACCTAAACCTGCTGAATGTCACTTCTTTCTCAAATCAGAGTAGGAGTGTTGGTTCAAGCTGAAACTCAAGCGAAACACTAACATTTGTTACAACACATCAGGATCACTAAAACCATTGCTAAACCAAATAAGAAAAATAGTATTTATTTTTACATAGCTTTTTTAAAGATTAGCAAATATTAACTTGGCAGATTTCATGGCAGCAGGTCCTTGATATATCAGTTAATATACCTGAATTTCTAAGCATTTCCGTGACAAAATCTATTGACTTTAATGTACATATTAGTAAATAAAATGGGAATATGGCCCAAAACCTAAGCTGACACGATATTATCTGTTACATAAGTGCATTAATTGAGAGAATATTTAAACTGTTCCAATTAGAAAAGCGTTTCTCCAGCATGAAAACCTACGTATGCAAGTAACAAGTCGCAAAACACAAACACTGAAATTCATGCCTTACACTCTTGTAGAAAATACCACTGTAACTACCATAAATAGCTGCTGTAAAGCTACATGGAGGGTAACTGCACCATCATTCAGAAAGCTAATCCTTTTACTTCAACAATTTGAACTAGAATCTAAAATAGCTACTTGAAACTATACAAATGTAAGGAACACTAATAAAATATATACCAGTAGTTTTGGTGAACTTTAAGCTCCTACATATTTTCTAATTTGTCATTAAATAGTTTGATGGATAAATTATACTTATGCATAAATACACACTAACTCTATTAAGTGTTTCATAAGCTCATTAGTGACTATGGTATAGAATGCTCAGTGAAATTTCCCTTCAGCACCTTGTCTTCAGATTAACCTTTCAAAAATAAACAAACAAGTAAGGTACAAACTCTATTCCCCAGCATTGGTGTAATGAGATCATTGGGAGACCGTGGAAAGATGATGGGAAAATTACATATGTGTTCAGAATTCCTCTAACTCCAGTAGCCCTTCCAATCTCATCAAGGAAATAACATTTTCAGGGGGAAAAAAGCACAGTGAGACATGTCTTAAGCTGTGGCTTGATTTGACAATAGTACTGGCTTAAGTAGCTCACAATTCCCCTGTTGCTCTCTATAGAATGAATGGCTTACAGAATTAACCCAGTCAAAAATAAGCTTTAGTAGCCACAGCAACAATAAGACTAGAGTGAACAGGATTGCAATATATGTTAAATTAGTACTTATGAAATAAACATTCCTTATATTATGCAGAAGTATCAGCTAATTAAGGAGTTGAGTCTGTCTTCAATTATCTAATCCAAGCCCATCCCAGAAATCATGATATATGAAAAATTAGATTGAACCAAAGCCAGCAAGAAAAAGAGCAGATGCAAGGACTCCTGCCATCCTCTAGTGAGAGACCTACACAGAAGGTTACAGATTATTTCTCTTCGCTCTGTGGCTTCCATGAGTATACTGACCTTTAATATTCCCTAGCACAGCATCTTCAGCACAAGTTGCCCAATACTCAGGGTACTGGTGTGAGACATAAAAGTCTGAAAGACAAAAGTTAAATCTAGGTATCTCACTCTCAGGACACATGCAGTACCCGTTAAAATACTGTAAACTGTTATGTTCTGACTCAATGCTCTGTAGACAATAAAGGCAATGGATATTATTGTTAAGAAAGCTTCAGCATTGGTCTTCACATTCTGACTCTCATGAGACTTATACTGCATTTGTATGCCATGGGCCCAGTTGCTTGGGTGGAGGAAATTCTGTAACTAAGCAAAAAAACCCAAAAACATGGATAAGAAAAGCATTTTCAAGAAGCTATGAATGTAGGCACTCTGAGGTTTAGGCATTTCTGGGGTAGGATTATGAACTTTAAATCTACTCAGCTCAAAACTATCAGCCTGTGTTGAATCTGTTCTCCATCACAGTACAATACATGAACTGGATACACCAGATTCGTTATAAAATTTTGACACGCATAACATTGCTCCCGATAGCAAATGGTAAAATTTGCTTCACAACATGACAGATTGCTTATCTTCCACAAGAGGTTTGTTGGGCATCTTTAAAATTTTCTATTGGAGTCTTTGCATTTCCTGCTTCAGTTCATGTAGGCATTAATAACCACATACTATACTAACATGGTTCTTGGAACTTTGGTTGGACAGTCATCTAGTGTTAGGAAGCAGCACTTGGCAACTATGGCAAAGATGGAATGACTGTAATTGCAAAAGACCAAATCCAGACAGAAAGAAAGGACTTAAAAAATTAATAGCTTTTGTTGGCTTTTGTTTGTTTTCAGCTTGCTCACAGTGATCTTGCCAAAAGAATGTATCTCACGGCTTATGAGTACATCAATTTTAGAGGACAATTTTGAAGGAGCAATCTTTTAGCTTCTCATTGCCCATTCTTTCCCTTCTCTGTACCCAAACATTATTTCATATTTGCACTTACTGATTAATGTATGTAAGCAGAAAATATTAAGGAAAACATACATTTATTGAAAGGATATCGTAATACAAAAATCTCCCTTGAATTTCCAAATTTAACTATTCTGACATATGCATATTTAAGTCCCAATCACTCTACACAAAGACTTGCAAATGAAGTTTACCACATCCTAGTGCAAAGGATTACAACCATCACTAATGCATAAATACATTCCATTTGATATTAAAATAATCTTCTCTGCAGATGTGAATGCAAAAATAGGCGAGCACCTCAGTCACTACTAGAACTGTCTGAACTATCAGAAGATGAACTTTTTTCCTTTCGTCTCTTCTTTTTCTCCTTTTTATGATGCTTTCCTTTCTTAGACTTCTTTTTTTCCTTTACCCTTTGTTTTTTGTGGGATTTCTGTTTTTTTGACTTTGGCCCATCCTCTTCAGCTGCACTTGATGAGGAAGATCTAGTAAAAATAAACAAACAAATTGACACGTAATTAAAGAAGCAAAATGCACCCAGAATAACGTGGCCTTTTAAAATTTCGATATTTATATAACGTCACAAATAAAATTTGGTGTTGAATTTGTGCAGTGGCATCCACTGAAATGCTTACGATATATAAGTCTGCATGTTAAACTCCCTGACAATTTTTGTAATGAGACCAGTGTGCCAGAAAATCAGTATGTTCATAATCCAGATTAATTATCAATAGAATAGGCAAGTCGTGTTTTTCAACCCTCAATCAGAAAAAAAAACTGAGTACAGACTGACAGAAAACTCTAAGTATGACAATAAGCTTTTAAAATACCACATGATCTAGAACAATGCAATGTAATGCCTCCAGACAAAACTTAAATGTATTTCTCTCACGCATAAATCTAAGAGAAACAGGCATGACAAATGTAGATGCTCTTGCAGCTGGTAATATTATTAATCTTTAAACAGCAGTGATTACATACATACAAGACTTAAGATGACAATAAAGGAAAAGCCAGTCATTATTATACTCAAGAGCATAGTTTGTGATATTTTTTCCATAATTACTAATTACTTGCATGTAAAGACTACATTAGCAGATAGACTCTTTTCTACTATCTTTAAAGTATAAATTAGAGCTATACTATGAAAAAAGGAAGGGGGAAAATGACAACAGAACCGGTGCTAAATTTTGTTTATTTCTGAAAAAAACAACTTATTGTGGCCTCCAAACGCAGACAAATGTGTACACTTCCTAGCTCTCAGTGCAGTTCCTATTGACTAACTAGACTATTAAAAAAGAAAAAAGTCAGCAGGCCAAAATTCAGATTCACAGTAACTTTGAATATTATGACATTTTCCTTTGAAATGGGAGCAACACCTTTTTTAGGCTTTTACAATAACAGGGAGATTAAAACTCAACACACGCTAAGTAGAACTGCAGAAACCTTTCCTTTTGATGGTCACGTTACTCAGAGCAGTGTGTGCATGTACATACACATTGCATCGGTGCCTGCAGGGAATCCTCAGCTCTCTGAACTGTTAGGAGGCTTCTCCATACAAGCTAATCTGGACCATCACCATAAACCTCCTGACTCCTTGTTCTTTTCCTATCACATCTTGCTTAGTGCTGGCTACTCTGCGGGAGCACTGCATTCTCAGACCTGCTAGAGCTTTTTAATCTTCCACGGTCCTAACTCCACAGCAGAAAGTCTGTGGGTTTACCACTATTCAAAGATCAAACAAGATCGCACTGGAAGACAAAAAACTTTTCAAATAAAAGATGTACTTGCAAGCAGAGTACATCAAAGGAAGCAATGTTTTCTAAGAAACAACACAAATGTCAGAAACATTTCTAAAGTTTTGTTTTGATCAAAATAGGTGTGTGATAGTGTTACCTTTTCCTTGGTCTCTTTAATTTTGTTTTTTCTTTGCTTTTTCTTTTTTGCTTCTTTTTTTCTTCTTCCTCATTTAAATCTATGGATAAAAAGTTACAGTTTACAAAACACTTGTCTGAGGTAAGATCAGCATTCAAAGAGTGGCTTCAATAATAACGTAGAGTTGCTACAAAATTCTTATTAAAACTTTTTATTTTCCTTCCACCAAATTCTGGTTTCATATGGTAATTTTATAAATATTTTGTGGGAGTAGAACTTCTTACACAACTTACATTCTAATTACTTGCCTGAGTTTTAAAGCAGGTCATTTAACTAGAACATGCAGCAAAAAATATTATTCCCTTAGGCTTACCTGAATTACTTTCATACATTCTCATTTCACACTTCCTAAGTAGCTATGCCATAACTAAGATAAATTTTGGTTAACTGTTAATATGCTGTCAACAAAAATTGGTAAAAGAGTCACCCCTCATACGGTCATGTTTGTTTCCAGTTGTAACACTGTACAGTATTGCTTAGTATCTTCAATAAGTAGTATTTTTATCACACTGTATTAAATTTCTGACTTTAGAATTCTCTATACCAGTTCAAAACATATTTTTGAATTTTCCAAATGCACACACATCAAAATGTCAGCTAGCAGGAAAACACTGGCTTTACTATTTATCATTAAGATAGCTGACTTTGAGCATTTCATCTCTATCATACAAGTAACTTTCCATAGACAGTGCATGATGATGCAGTTATTCATTTGCTATGACAAACAGAAATTATGTCTGTATCTTACGAAGCAAAATACAAAATAATTCAAATATGAGTTACAAAAACTAATTTCCTTTTGAAGCAATTAAAAACCACAAACAAGCACTCAGTATTTTTTTAAGAAAATGATGCAAAAATTAAGGTGTAAACAATGCAAAAATTTTGAGAAGATGACACTACTTGAAAATGGAAAAATCCTACCTAGATTATTAACACTTAAAGATACATATCTTCTTGCCATATACATACAGCCATAACTTGAGAAAGAACACTTCAAAAACAGGGATATTACAAGATCAAGAAAATAGCGTTTTCTCCTGCAGATAACCATCTTCAATCAGTTTAGGCCCAAAAAGCCCCCCTCACATTCAAAAGTATATAATAACTGAGAACAAGTTTTTCCAAAGAGACTTGTTCCAAGAAAGGACTGTTGCAGTACCAACTCAGCACTCTGGACAAGCAAACTACCCGTTTCTCTTGAAGTGTTTCAGCAAATTACAGGGTTCTTTCTAGCCATTTTCCTTCCTAAATAGCATCTTCAGTAGGAACTGAGCATGGAATGTGAGAGCAGCAGCAAAAAACATCACGTTTCAAGGAGCAGAAAAGAAGAACATTTATTAATTTAAAACATGCTACAGTGGAACAATCTTACTTAGGGGAACAGCTTTGGAGTCCAAATTCAAGTGAACTCAAGCATCTGTGGGATAACCCATCTGTTCTCCATCTGACAAAGAGTTGATGCTCAGACCTTCCAAAGAGAGAACTGTACCTCTACCAATAAGAACATTTAAAATCAATTCTCTAGCTGACTCAGTCAAAACACTAACTAGAAACCGAAGAGATTTTTAGCTGTCATATTTGTTATTAGTTTTAAGAGTTACTATCTACTTTAAGATTTTTAAAAGACATTATATACTCAAAATGTTAACTCAGAACAGCCATTTTTCTATGACAGGAATTAACAATAAAAAACAGGAGTAGGTGTATGAATTTTCTGAAGTCTGAACACATGAAGACCGATGTTTAAAACAAAGGGTAAAAGGGATAAAGTGAGAGTTCCATTATTACAGAAGACCATTAGCCAATTTACTGTTAAAAAAAACAGAACATCACCTTACTTTTTTTTTCACGCATGGCTTGCAATCTCTGTAGTTCTTCTTCCTCACTATCTTCACTGCTAGTACTACTAACATCTAAAACAATATCTCTTTGAGGATCTACTCGGAGGAAGTTTCGACATTCAAATGTCAGGTGACCAGCTGAACAAAACAAATATTCAGAAAGAAAAATTACAATTTACAAAAAAATTTCACCAAATAAAGAACATCTATTCAAGTATTATTCAGTTTTTACAAGTTAAAGAAGTCTATGGGGCAATCTGTGAACAAGGAGGGAGAAGGCTCATTTTGAAAAAGCCTTAAAGAATTTTGACACATTGCGCAATATTATTCCATTTAAGAGTGCTTTATGACCTCTGTCTTATTTCTCTAAAGATTCTGTTGAACCTCTACTTCCTCTTTTTAATGGTATCAGATCAATAAATTATCTAAAAACAAGAAATGCAGTAGTTTTAAATATAATTCAAGTGTGTTATATTGCTCTTTTTTTCTTCTTCTAGTGAAACAGAAGAAGCCTATTCACTTACGAGACATAATCTTTAATAACCAGTACATAATACTGACTAAGCAACTGCTTGCCTTGTATTCTCTAAATTGCATCTCAATAATCTTGACTAGAGTTTGGAACTTTGTGCTGAATACAGGTATTGGAATAACAGAGAGAAATAAAACAAATTGAAGGTAACATTTGGGAAAAACTATACTAGAGATAAAGGAATTCAAGTAGCAATTTAAATAATCTCATCTTCTTACATCTTGAAGACAGAGCTTTTAGGAACATAAATACAGGCTGTGCGATTTGACTGCAAGTTTCCTTCTCTCCCACAAAACTTCTGATACTTATTGCAAGTAGAAATGAAGCACTCATTATATATTGATATATATGCTCCCTTGGAAGTACAGATACACAAAGCAATTAATGGACTAAATTTGCTGGAGACAAAGCCTGCAGCAAAAGAACGAAGCAAGCTTTTTTCCCCTTCACTCCTCATAACTTCCGTAAAAAACCCAAATTAAATCACTCTGTTAAAAGCTGAACAAAATTCACTGAAAAGTGTCCACCTCTCCATTGTTCTAAAAATAAGAGCTAATGATTACTACATTCAAATCTTCACTAAGACCTGTCTCCATTCATCAGGAGAATAGCCACATAGACTCTCAGATGATCAGAGAGAATAATGCAAAGCATGAGCTAAATGCTAACTACAGAACTTAAATAAAATTAACTGCTTCTCAAAATACAGAATGCACAAAGAAGTATGTTTCCTTAGTGTACAAGATTATACAGATTTTAAATTATTTTTCCTTTTAAAACAGATTGGATTTAAGCTGAAATGCCTGCCTAAATTTGCAGTGAGACTCAGAAGCAGCACAAATGCTAATCTCAGTACACAGGCCATGCTTTCAATTCAGTTTCTCAAGTCATTCCATTGCAAATGTAGTATATATAAATACAACAGCGTATTTTTTTTTCCACGGAGAAACGCAAGGTTCAAAAGCAGCAATTGGTGTAAGGAGTCAGAGAGTGAATAGGAACTAATGTTATGGTAATTTCAACTGACAAATGTCCGGGGCAACAAGGGAGAACACTACTTCCCCCCCTCCTCCACGCCTCACCTTCCTCCCCGTTAAATGGCAGTTCCAGCATTATAAATTGAAAGACTTACGGTAGCCACACTTTTTGCATCCTGCTCTAATGTTATCTTTATTTCCACCTGGAAGAGAAAATTTCATCGATTAGAACAGACCTCTTAGAGTTCCTTTAAATCTGGCTTGACAACATCAATACAGACAGGAGTGATAACTCCTCAGATTATTAAGTACACTAAGATTTCTTAAAAAAAGTTTCAAGTGAAATGCAAAATAACGTTTTTAAGATCCCTTTTCTGTGACATAACCAACAGAATAAATTTGGCTAGTATAAAATGCTACAGCTCATTTAGTTAACATAATGTATTGCCAAATCCTCATTTGAATTATCATGACCTTTCCTCTATAATTTTGGTCATTTTTCCACTCCTCTGAAAACTTGTGCAAGTGCTTTGTGTACAAGATGAACACATTAATTGCTATCTGAAATTCCAGTGACTCGTAACTGTGCACTACAGATGTATTTATAAATTCTAGCAATGCATGGATGCTCAATGACATTAACTGGAAACTCTGAAGTAATTTATATTTTAATTACAAGAACTGTCTTGAAAGGCTGAAAAGTGTCCAAAGACACAGAAGCAATGAAAAAAACCCACCAGCTAAACAAATTGTTAAATTATTTTAAATCTATGTAACGTGCCACCAAATACAAATAATTAATGGGTGCAGGAAACAAGAAGTGGAAAAAAGCAAAGACAGTAAAAAAAAGTCCATAGGTACTCTGCAGGAAATAGGCGAGTGCCATTTTTAGGTACAGAAAGTGTGTGATTTTCCCATCTGAGTCCACAATGACGTTAAATAGACATAGTAGGGCATGATGCAGAAAAAGAGAAACTCCAGAGACCTACTCCCACAAAACAGATCTGTCTTCTTTTTAATCATCTTAGCCTATTCAGAATGAAAGTCACAACTAAATTTCTAAAATCAAAGTGTGCCCTTCCACTGTCCAACAAAATAGAGTATGAAAAAAACATCTTGAATAGTTACAGAGTTTTCTGAATAAGCAGGTAATTTATTTAAGTAAACAACTAAGAAAAACAAAACAACAAACAAAAAAACCCAAACACCCAAAAAACCTAAAAAAACCCCAAACAACAACCCATAAATCCATGACAGAAATTAAAGAAACAGAAAGGGGGCACCATGAATTTAATCTTTGATTTACTGAGATAAACACTGTCTTTAGAAATTCAACTCAGAATAACAGACCAACCTTCAAGGCTCAGGTTGAAAAACTAACTTTGACACTTGGACAACCCACTGCTCTATGCCCTGAAGAGTACTGGAACACGAAGCAATAGATACATACATTCCTCTATGACAGAAAACTTTAGTATTACATATCCCCTTCAGGATCTATAAACTCAGCAATGTTTACATGTGTGTTTGATGACTACCTTTTGACGGTATCCCACAAGAGGTAAGGAAGCAGGGAATACAGAAGAAAGTGTCAAGAAACAAAGAACCAAAGTACACCCGTATCTTGCAATTTCATGTCAAAGAAATACTCTAAACAGCATCTACTTTTTCTCTACCTTGGGAATAGAAAGCAAGACCACCCAACCTACCTACTTTGTCTCATATTTCTGAAATACTCATTATACTTCACCTCTACTGTATAAACTGGTGTGTAGGTAAAGAAAGGTTTGGTATTCCATGTAAAGGAGGTCAGTACAGTTGGCACACGCTACAGAATCCCCCACAATACACTCAGGTGCCATTTGTCAGGATTTCCAACAGAGACACTAAGTAGATGACAAGAATATTGTCATCAAATACCCCTACTAAATTCCTCATGCTGAAATTTTACAATTATCTTTAGCTCTACATAATAATGTTAGAAGCAGGGGTTTGGTCTAGATGAAGTTTCAGATTATTAAAAGCAAACAAATTGCTAGAAGCTTCCTCCTCTCACTCTCTCCTAAGTGTTAATCTAAGGAACTCATTAATTCAGTTAAAGACAAAGAAGCAAAAAAAAAAGCTTCAGAAACTTTTGAACACAAACATGACATGTATTCCTCAAGAACTCCTTCTGGAACGGGAGCAAGATTATTAAAGTATTCTCTTAAGAGAAGAAGCTTACCAAAGCTCAGGCTTGTTCAGCTGTTCTCCAGCCAAACAGTCATGTCTCAGGATCCAGAGAAAATAACGAGGCAACGGCTATATGTCTCGCTATCATAAATCTAGATACCTTGCAACTAGCACACATATTTCTGCCTGTGCTGTCTCACTATCATTCTCAACACGTCTACTGAAACAACAATCTGGTGAGACACAGACATTACTAGAACAAAAATATGAGGAAAACCAAGTCTTACAACAACGATTCTCTAGACCTAACTTTTAAAAAGGTGCCTCAGACAGTAAGAACGTAGCGCTTGCTCATCACTCATCCAGGAGGTTGGGGACAGGTCCCGCAGGCCTCGAAAGCAGCTCCTGCCTGGCTGCGCCCACCAGCGGCTGCCCCGACCCTCCGCACACC